AACTCCATAGGTTCCTTCTTTCCTTAAATTACAAAGAAGATGCATTACTGATGCGCCAAGCTTTGGGGAAATGAGGAAGACATGTTATTAACACACCACAAGTCCCTTCCCCAAATTACAACAAAAAAAAATTGTATTCCCCAAATCAAAACGAACTGGTCAGTCTCAAAAATCAAATTATGATGACTCTAATCTTAATCATACAAAGTACAACATTGAAAAGCATCTTCAAACAAATTTCCCTCCACCCTCAAAACAGAGCCCCCGGTTCAAGAAGAAATATACAATGGGCGAGACCCAAGAGGCATTGCTACCACCAGCATCACCCAAGCTTCCGCTTATGCAGGGAAGAGAGCATAGAGAGAGAAGAAAAAAGAAACAAGACGGAGAGAAAATAAATGTTTTATTCTAAACGTTGTTTGAGGAGGGGTATTTTCGTGTTAAATTCCATTCTTAAGTGACTTGGGGGGTTGATAAAATCTAAAGCAACCCTAGGATGCATTCCGGATGAGTCGTCGCCATGCACAAATTTATAGAGCAATGAGTCAGGATGTAAGGGATCATCTGATGCAAAGTAGAATACTACTCTATGGTGCTTGCACCCTGGTGTTTCAAGAGATTAAAAGTAAGAAAAACATATTTGTTATTACGATCACAAGAAAGTAAAAAAGACTAGCATTGCAGACAATGAGATACAATTCTTACGCCTGAGAATGTTTTGCATACGTATCGATCAAAGAGGATCCTATAAAGACATCAAGATTGAAACCATTTCAGCTAACATATTTATGTATCTCTCTCTCTAAATCAAGGCCCCCGGTGTGCGCAAGCTTAGATCATTGTAGCCATGGTTACTGCATCAGGGCTCACAACTTGGGCCTCCATCTCTTTGAACACAGCTGCCTCTTTAAACCTTCCATTTTTTGAAAATCTCGAGGTCATGGTGGTCCAAGAAACCAAATCCTTATGACTCATTTCATCAAAGAGCGAAGCCGCCTTTTCTATATCACCACCCTTTAAATAGCCATCAATCAAAGCATTCCATGAAGCTGTGTTTATCTCAGGCATGGCATCAAAGAGTTCTTGAGAAAAACTCAATTCACCAATTCTGCAATGACCTGAAATCATCGCGGTAAAAGTGATTGCATCCTTAACCTCCATTTCATCAAACACCTTACGAGCATTTCCAATCTCGCTACAATTTAAGTACAAATCGATCCGCACAGTTCCAACAAAGACCTTAGAATTCAAATCCCATTTCACAAAATTCACAAAATTAGTATCATTCAAGAAACAAAGATAAAGAGAGTGATAACAAACAACTCCAAATTTTATAAGTAATGCTAGAAAGAGAGAGAGAGAAAAAAGCTATAAATTTCACAAATGATGCTATAAATTACTTTAAAACATACACACAGGCAAACACACATCTAAAATTAAATAAAAAAGAAAATTGAAAAATATCAAATCTGGGATCTACAAAATAACGACGAAGATGAGAGCCTTGGGTGCTGACCTAATGGCCTAGGCACGACGAAGAGCAGACCTGTTTTCGAGATGACCGTGTTCCGTCTTGCCTGCCATTGGACTCTCTCTCTCTCTCTAAGATCTTCCTGCCCTCATCGTCTGAAAAAAAATCTCTCTCCAAGAACTTCTCTCTCCCTCTTTTAATGGTGCAGGCTCTCTCTCTCTCCAAGAAGCCTTCTCTCCCTCTAATCTGCATGCTCTCTCTCCTCCAAGAAACCCTTCGATTGGGGTATTTTCAAGCATTTCTTCAAGACAGAGAAAATGAGGCCATGGGGTGCTGGTAATGGAGAATGGGTAATGGAGATAACAACTTTTTGGAGGTGGGTTTTAATCCCTATGATCTGTGTGCTCTCTCTTTCCTCCAAGAAACCCTCTCTCCCTCTAATCTACGTGTTCTCTCTCTCCTCCAAGAAACCTTTGTTCCCTTCTTCTCCCACGTGTTCTCTCTCTCCTCCAAGAAACCCTTTGTTCCCTTCTTCTCCCGCATGCTCTCTCTCTCCCTAAAAATGGATTTCTCTCTCTCTAGTGCGGACTTATTTCAAAATGGGTTGCCGATTGACCCGTGCCCCCATTTTGTGACAAATTGAGTGACTGAATGTCTGCCCTTTTAAATCAACGGCTAAAAAGGTGGGGCAACATAGAACTTCTATGATGTAGGGAGACTATAAAAATCTTTCCCATCTAATAATGCCCCCCACAGAACAAATAAACTAGTATATTTAATGGCTCGTATAAATGTAACAATCACAGTAAACAAATGAATAAATTATGGACGTGGTTAGAATGCAACCAGCCCGATATTGTAGAAATATGGGCTTCGAAATAAATATATTTTTCCATATAATTTGATCTTAATTTTGAGAGAATATATAATATTTAACATGGACATCATGAATAGGAAAAAAATAAAATTTGAAAGCTAGAAATAATAATTATATTAAGAAAACATTTGGACCGTTAGTTACGATTGTTTTTAGATGGACTACCTATTGTGTCTATCTTTAAGATGGATGCTTTATACCTCTAGACTGCGTATTGTAGAAATGCAGTCAAGGCCGCATAAAAAAAAATTTCATAAATTATTTTCAATCTATTTATATGTAATTAATGAAAGTTGGATAAAGTGATCTAGTACGGTGTATATAGTTTTTAATTTTTCTTTTTCTCACCGACTAGAACACTTATAATGGATCCAAACAATTAATTCAAGGGAAAATATCTCCATACCCCCTATTTTTAGGTTTCACTTCACAATAGACTCAAGGTTTTAAAAGATATGTTAAGCCATAAAAATTAGAGATTTTATTTTTTCTAACCCCTTGAGCTAATTTGAACTTATTTTTTAAGCAAAACAAATCTAAAAAGATATGCTTTTTCTAAAAGCCATCCTCTCGAGGTGAGAAGTTATCAGGAGGAAAGAGAGGTATTTGGAGAAACATGGGAGGAGAGAGAGTGAAAGACCCAGGAAGAGAGAGAAATTAAGAACTATGGGGTTATATAAGTGAAGAGATAAAAAGGACTGGGTTTAGAAAGAACATGTCTTTCTCGCATTTATTTAGGTTAAAAAATATGTTTAAAATGGCCAGCGGGTTATAAGATATCTTTTGAAATATTGAGTTTATCAAGAAATGAAACTTAAAAATAGAGGATATGGAGATATTTTCCCATAATTCAACTCGAAATAAATAACTAAACAACCAAAAGAGGTTCCCACTTACTACTACTAATTACAACTTCTTTTATTCAATAAAAAAAATGCTTCACGGAATAAGAAAGCATAAAAAATAATAGAACTGCAAAACACAAAGCAAGATGCCGAAGTATTACCTCAACTAGACTTAGTACACCCCAAACCGACTCTCCTCCTTCAGTGGCGCACATGATTAATAGTCAATATTAGATCCTTGAAGTATAGGAAAGCCTAGGCTACAACCCTTAATCATATGAGAACAATGGGGGAACTTGTGAAGGTACTAGCACTAGATCTCAATACCTACCTAGGTGGGGCACGACCCTCTTTTAAATCTAGGTAGGGTGTGTCCCCCTTTCAGCATTCTAATGGAGATAGAGATGAGAGAGAGAGCCTAGGTTGGTGTGTGCCCCTTCTCTTACTAAACTTCTAAGAGAGAGATCTTAGATGAAGCCCTAGGGGATTGCATTCCATCTTAGGATAGAAAGATATAGTGAGAGGCGAAGATATTTAGAGATGGGAGGGCTCTTATTTATAAATATTTTCAAGGGTTAGGGTTTCTTAGTGTTAGACATTCTTATGAAGATTTGATCAACCATTGATCATAAGAGACATGTGGGGTAAGAGATCTGAGTCATCCAATCATTTGATTAGCCATCATGATTCAAACGAATGTGCTAGAATTTTATCAATTGACTTCCTAAACCTAATCTCATCAAATAATCAAAATATGAAAATAATATCATACTTTCCTTTTTCATGAATAGATTTCTCATTCATTCCATCTTTGACTTTTCAAACTTCTTAAACATCAAAGTTTTCCAAAATCAAAAGAAATTTGATAGACTTGATTAACAAGGCATTTCAATAAGGAAAGATCCCCCATTATGTGGAGTGCAATATCTCTTAATTTATAAATCCATTTTGCAAAAATAAAATATCCAGAGATTGATAAAAATTCTAATAATCAATCTAAAAATCATGTAACATCAAAATAGTTAATTCTAAATAATTTTGATGGGAATCAGATCCAACTATGCTTAAGAATTATAATATCGCTAAAGAAATCCATCTTATACTATGGATCATAGTCCACACTTGTTTTCTCAAGCTGACCCAGCGGTTCCATGATCCACAGGCCACTACAAAAGTTTATGATTGGGCCACTAAAGTCAGCCAATAAACAAGGTAACATAATTACAGTCTATAGATTACAAGTTCTCCCCTAGAGATGAGTCCAAGGTTACATAGACCTGATACAACCACAGTTTTATGGTGTATATGGGTAATCTTTCGCACATGTATATGTTTCACTCTCAATGATGACTCGCTTTTTCGATATGGCTATTACATATACATGTCGTGTGATGATTCAGTGATGAGGCCTTGACCTTCATCCCTAGAGGCCTACCATCATGCAGAAGGATCACATAGTCCCTTAGCTCACTCTCTTGGACATCTCTGACCTCATCAAGGGATGACCCTGCGAACCCTTGTTCGTATGTGCTCTATGCCCAAGCAATACGTGTTTTCCAATTTGACTAGCCTAGCACGTCAAACCAAGTCCAAGTATCGGCAAATGACATTTGCCTATCTCGGTTTACAAAAGACCATATTCCGACTGAGTTTATGTTTTACTTTATCAAATATTTAAATACAAACTCTCATCAGGCTTTTAATGGCCACATAAACCCAATAATCAATTTAAAACATAAATTATCCATCACAGTCAATTTATGCTTTATGTTCAAAGCATCGGAGTTTTAAGATATTACATAACAGACGCACAAAGGGTTTGGTTTGCTTCAAAATCCAATAATTTTAATAAAAAATCACAAGATTGGTCATCAATCATAAAACTTCTACTGAACCCCGGCAGTCTAACGTTTACCGTAGTTCATATAATTTCGTACTTCTCGTATAGCGGTAGAAAGTAAAGCAAAACTTTATTTTAAAGTTATTCATTTGTAGGAATCCAGAAATTGCTCATGAAGCATTCTATTTCTGACGGACGGAGACGACCTGCTCAAATATATTTCCAACATTTTTATAGAGTTGTTAAAAAGTAGATGACGTAAGGACAGAGAGAAATATCGCAATTATTATTTATCATTATCGGAGTATAATATTATGGGTGAGGTTTGTATGAGGTTGACGGGTTCAAATATATTCCTACACTTGTTAAAAAGTAGATGACGTAAGGACATAGAAATATCATTACTATTATTAGGAAAATTGTTTCATGCGGGCTAGACCGTATTTCTTAATATAAAAAGAGTAAAGCATCCATCTTAAAGATGGATGCAAGCAGGTGTTTTATCTAAACACAACGAAAATTAACGGTTGAAATGTTTTTTTATTAAAATTATTATTTTTAGTTTTTAAAATTTATTTATTTATTCATATTCATGATCTCCATTTTAGAGATTTTTGGGATGCACCGAGCCTATTAATAAATCTATTTTTGAGATGGATTTTAAGACTTAATTTTTAAGGATATGGACACTCGAAGATCTTGAAAATGGATGGTCTAGATAATCTTGAAAGTCATTTTTTTTCTTCTATGTCCATACATATTAAAGTCGAGATGATCAATTGGAGAGTTTGTCAATGACAAAATCTTTTTTGGTAGATATTTTATGTGCACCTTTCTTCAACAGTATAAAGTTAATACCTAATATAAACTTTTTCCTAATATCATTATCTTGATGTATTAATGTCACATTATATAAATATTATAATATTATATACTTCTTTATCTTTTACTAATATTATAGTATTATATTAACATAGAGTGTTATAATACTATCTAATTATCTTGATAATAATATTATTATATAATTATAGTATTCATGTGTACTTGTATTAGTATTAATACTTGAAGTGTTTATTATTGAAATAATGATTATTTAAAATTTTGACGTATTCTCAAACGATTGCAAATTTTGGCCTACACTTACTTCAACTATTGGCCTAAACTTCTTCAACCTCACGTGCTACCATTTGGATATAAATTTTAAAGAATATAATATTATGAAAATCATAGATCTATTGAAGCAATCCACGAAAGAACAAAACTATGGTTTCATCCATTGATTCTTACAAAAAAAATCAACATAATTTATGTGAGGCTGTTAAACTTCTTTACGAGAAATTTTATATCATTATATAATTATACTATTTATGTGTATATGCATTAGTGTTATTATTTAAAATATTTATTATTGAAATAATAATTGTTTATTAAACATTATAACTTTCCTTAATTATGTATTCCCATATGATTGCAACTTCTGGCCTAAACTTCTTCATCATCAAGTGCTCTTATCATCCTCATCATCATCATCATCATAGCTTTTTCTTTATTAATTGAGGTTGGCTATTTAAATCCTTGCCCATTCTATTCTATTAAAGGACAAACTCTCAGTAAAGCTATATGTCCCCA